ACTTATTTATTATTTCAAATATTATTACTTGAATTAAAATTCCCTTAAAATTAAATTTAAATTAATGTTTAGAATGTGATATTAAATTAAATTTTCTATTTCAAAAATTTGCATACTATATCAATATCATCAAAATAAATAAAAATAAATAAAAACACTTATTAAAAAAAAAATTATTGCTCACCTCCGGGAGCAAACTTGGATCTTACGAATTATGAAGCAAGCACCTAACTCACAAAGCCAACTACACTGGTTGGAAATACAGTTACCAGGAAGGCTCATATGGCGCGCCGCGGTGCGCTTCGGATATGGCTAATTTTCACAAATTTATTACTCCGAAACTAAGGCCTATTCTATCAAACGCCGGGACACGTATCTTTTTTTTCATCTCCAGAATAATTAAAAAAATTGGGGTCAAAATCCCAGGGTGAGTCACCTGGTCCTCCCCTTGTTAGTATGGGTTGAAGAAGTAGCGCAGCAGCTAAGGTGATACACTAGAAACCTGAAGGTATCTGCAGTTCTCAAGTTCGCATCCGATTAGTACTGAGTGAATTTTCTGATGTAAAAATAATGAGAAATCAATTAAAAGACCTAAATTTTATTTAAAATCAACATAAACTGACGTGTGTGAGTTGAAGATATATCATAAAAATTATTTTTTTGTATAAGATTTCAATATTTTTAGAATTATATACTCAGTAATATTTCAGAATGTCCCTGCAATGTCTCCAGAATATCTCAACAATATTACAAGTTGGTGACATAAGACACTGCAGAGATATTTCTAGAATATTTCTGAGATTATCTTCAGAATATTTAATATTGCAAATGTAATATTCTGGAGACATTAATTGCGTTCAGTAGAGAAAGCTGCTTTGCAACTGTTGTAAAATTCGTGAATCTGAGTGATTCACTGAGTAATTCATCTGAGAAATTCGTGATTAGAGTATGCTCTTAATTTTGGTTAAATTCAAGAGCATGTACTAATCAAAATCAAGATTCACGAATTTTACGAAGTTTATTTTAGTTGCAAAACAGCTTTTTCTGCTGAACGCAGCAATTGCTGAGATGTTTTGTGCTGTGTACCCACACAGCTACCCACACTACTACCTAATAGTTAGCAACCAGAGCGATCAAAAGAAAATATTTTGTAACGACTAGAAATGAAAGTGGATGTGCAATAAACGAGTCGAGTAAAGTGACTTCTATTCCCTGGGTCACTCTTAACCTAACATTACAAACGAGTGAAAATATATTTAATATATAGGCGTAAAGACGCCTGGTCCTAGTTGACCATAATACAGCGAACTTACACTTGTTAGGTTAGTGCACTTTCGGTTTTACCGATTTTGCTTTTTTCAGTTTTTTCAATCCATTTATATTTGTCTTCAAGAGATTCCAATATGCCTGTTGGAATTTGTTTACCTCCTTGGAATGAATCTAAAAAGTAAGAAGTATACTGCAGAAAAGTCCAAATAAACTATTTCTTTAAGTCAAATGTTTAGAATATAGGTAGATACTTACAATAGTGGAAATCTTTTTGGACCGTAAAGATGCTCGAACTAGACAAAAGTACTCTGTTGGGGTTGGTAAAGAAGGCTTACCTTTCCTGGGCACTGGCTTATTATATCCATTAACTAAAAGAGACAAAAAATGTTTAATGCAAATACGAAAAAGAGAGAACATTGTGTAAATTAATTTTGCGCATAATACACAATGCATTAACATTATATTTATATATGTTACTAGATGTTAATATATGTATTACAACATACTATTATTAGATTTTATTTTACTATTAGATTTTATTATTATTAGATTTTATTTTAGAAGGAATGTTTAATAAAGAATGCCGCCCAAAGTAGTACCATTCTTATTTCTATCTTTTATAAAAATAGATCTCATCGGAACACGTACCAACAGAAAGCTCCTCAAAAGTAAATCATTATTAAAAGAACTTATGACTTATGTATCCCACATAGCAGGAATGTCCCAAATATATTATAAAGATATCTTGAAGATATCGCATATCCCAAATATATTTTTAGGATACCCCTATAATATATTTTGGACACCTATGTGCTGTGTGCTGTGTGGGACTTATAACTTGTAAATATTGTGGAAATATTGTAGATCAAAGATTCCGTGTGTCAGTTAAAAGTGCAATTATTGTCAACGAAGATTGTTACTAGCAAAAAAAAAGTGCTTCTACAGAAGGATCGAATACTATAGCGACTGAAGACTATAAAAATGCTGCTAATTAAGACGGTAAAAAAGTTGCAAGCAAGCAGTTTGCTCGATTGCAAACATCAAAAAGGCTCATCTGAAAAATAGAAATAATAGTAAAACGTTCGTATTCTAAAATCGAACATCGTGTTGTACTTATTGAACAATCATACGGCCGCTACAATGTTCGAAGAAAGGATTATTCTACGTGTTGACAATAGTCAATTTGTCTCAATTTTCCCAAAAAGTATACAGGTTAACACTATGATATGCACATTTTTTTATATATTTAAAATATATTTAAATATATTTAAAAAATTTGCTTAATTTGGTGCATCTCACAGTTTGAAAAGTTTTTGTGAAAAAAGGTTTTCTGGGCGGTATTCTTTATTAAAGTTCATATACAACCTACTATTATTAAAATTTTATTTTAATTTTGATTAAATTTAAATTTAATAATTTAATTTTAATTTAACTTTATAGGTAAAATTATGGGCGTACATAAGTATGTGTGTATGTATATGTGTACGCACATATGTAAAGATATTTGATTATAAATGTCATATACAACCTACTATTATTAAAATTTTATTTTACTTTTGAATAAATTTAAATTTAATAATTTAATTTTAATTTAACTTTATAGATAAAATTATAGGCGTACATAAGTGTGTGTGTGTGTGTGTGTGCGCACATATGTAAAGATATTTAATTATAAATGTTCGAGCAAATATCTCCTAATTTTTTAAAGTTACAAAAAATATAAATAGAGGAAATTTGCATAGTTTTAATCTGTAAAAAAATACAAATAAAATCTTTTTACCTACTTTTCTGTGCTCTAAAGATTATTTTCGATTTTTTTTTTTATTGGGAGTACAAATAAGTCTTCGCCGTTTGACAAAAGATGGCACCACCAGTAAGTTATGGTTGAAATTGTCAGATGTAAAACGTCATATCGTAAGGTTGGACATCTGGCAACACCATAACCTTGAAATATTAGCGATTTTGTATCAGCATCACTTAATTTTTTTCGTGCGAAAATGTCGAGTTTTGAGCCGAATAAGCGTCATTTGCGGGAACTTTTGATTTACTTTGTCTAGGTATAGCTTTCGGAATGGAGCCGTGTCTTGAATCAGCGATGTGCCGACGTTTCGCAAACGTTGCAGTTTGCATTATCAGGGCTGAGAACTCTGATACTGAGCTCCCTTGGCTAAAGATTGTCCTTATATGCCCCCTCCCCCCCCTTGTGTAGATGGTGTTAGGGAGTAAGGGACGAGGCTTGAATCCAGCCAATCAGCGTATTTTAATTGATCAGCTGGTCAGTTTAAAAACCGGGAGGGCAGTATGCCAAATAGAGTTAACTTGCATACCTTTGTTTCGGTTGAGGTTGTTGGGATGTTTTAAAATTTCTAGGCCTTCACGATGTTTTCTGGCAAAATAACTCTGTGAGGGAGCCAATCTGGTGGCTTTATCATATTGTACGGAGTGTCGAGTCTCCATCCAGTGTTCAGCTAGAGCTGATTGAGTAAAGTGACCATACTTGGTACATCGCTGGTGCTCCTTGATTCGCGTACTAATCTTCCTCCCGGTTTCTGCTATATAAACTTTACCACAAGAGCAAGGGATCTTATATACACCTGTGTTTCGAACGGCCCGAGGGTGGAGAGCGGCCGGTTCGTTATGCGGGATGCGGATTGATGTCCGCTCGCCGTGTGGAGACCGCGGTCTTCGTCGCTAGCAGTCCGCTATCCAGCGTCTCCGTAAGATGACGTGGGGTGCAAGTGATTCGCGACGTTATTCGGCGACGGGAGTCTTTGACTCCGTGTTTTGTATATGCTGCGTCTCTGGCAACGTCTAAGTCCCGTGCGGGCGTGAAGGCGAGCTCGGCTCGCGTGTATATGCTGCATCCCGGGCAGGGTCTAAGTCCCGTGCGGGCGTGAAGGCGAGCTCGGCTCGCGTGTATATGCTGCATCCCGGGCAGGGTCTAAGTCCCGTGCGGGCGTGAAGGCGAGCTCGGCTCGCGTGTATATGCTGCATCCCGGGCAGGGTCTAAGTCCCGTGCGGGCGTGAAGGCGAGCTCGGCTCGCGTGTATATGCTGCATCCCGGGCAGGGTCTAAGTCCCGTGCGGGCGTGAAGGCGAGCTCGGCTCGCGTGTATATGCTGCATCCCGGGCAGGGTCTAAGTCCCGTGCGGGCGTGAAGGCGAGCTCGGCTCGCGTGTATATGCTGCATCCCGGGCAGGGTCTAAGTCCCGTGCGGGCGTGAAGGCGAGCTCGGCTCGCGTGTATATGCTGCATCCCGGGCAGGGTCTAAGTCCCGTGCGGGCGTGAAGGCGAGCTCGGCTCGCGTGTATATGCTGCGTCCCTGGCAGCGACTGAGTC